ACACAAAGGCGTATGCTACGCCAACGCCAGCCTTACGAAGTGTGTGTGAACATACCCTTCGTTGTACGAAACTTGTTACATGCATTTGTTAGATGGTCTGTTCAAGTATTTGTTTCCCAGTGGACCCCCAATGGACATTGAGTGTCAATCAAATGCCTATATATGCTTTTTTCTGTTTTTCTGATTTTTATTAGTATTTTTTTTTCTGCTTTAGTTTAATTAATCTGTTTATGTTAAAGATCTAGTTTAATTTCTATACTTATGTTCAAATTGTATGTACTGAGGGTCCCAATTGATCAGCTCAGGCTGGATGGACCACCCTCACAAAATATTGTTGAAATAAAATAAAAAAATTAAAAAAAAAACTTCACAACTGACAAATCAAAACAGGGCCAGGGATACGCGCGTGTCTCACAAGCACGCGGATTTTCCCACTATACGCATGTGTTTGTATAGGCTATGTTTTTACACTGTCATTGTGTGGGACCTTTGTATCAATGAGCGGGGCTTGGAGGGTCTATTGTATCAAACTTCCTCTTCTAAAGTCGTATGGGTCTTTAACACTTTTTCTGACCAAAATGTCATATCCAACTATTCTTATCGATCAATCTTTTCTTCTCTTCAAACGAATCTGTTTAGCCTACCTCCTCTTTTAACATTCAGTCTATCACTTTTCCTCGACTGATCGCATCGGTTAGCAGTCAATCGGTTTTCTGAAGCGGGGCTCAGCTTAATAGAAGTACGTAATCATGGCCTACAAAAGACTATGTCATTACGTAGGCCTAAAGCTTGTAAAACTGCGTGATATTGGGTAGTTAGTAAATTAAGTAATCTTCTTCAAGCATCAAATTGATACATGAACACACAAGAATAATGAAAAGTATGTATACAGCACTGGCTTCGATGGTTTACATAATTTTACGGAAGTTACTTCGAGTGCATATGAAGTCCAGCTAATTCTGTTTACATTGATGATGATCGGCGAGATTAACGTCATTCAGATTACACCAACTGATGTAGTTATGTCAAAGTCAGCTCAGAGGAGAATAATGATGAAAATGCCACAGCGTGCTGGGATAACGATGTGGTTCTAATTTCCAACATTTCTTTCTAGTGCAAGCGATTAAATTGTGCAGTGCTATTAAAATCTTACATCAATGAAGTAATGTGGTTGCTACTGCTTACATCCGCCGACCAACTTCCCAGATGACCCAACCCATCATTTACATTGCTTCCGATAGCAGAATTCGTTTCGGTAGATGACATAGATTCGATGAATTAAATTCTTTTGAGCGTTTAGCACTACAGTATTGTGTAATTGAAATAGTACCTTAAACATGAACATTAATGATTAGCGCCCCCACTTGGCTATAACCTTGTAATTATTTGCTTCGGAATGTGTGATCTATATCAGATATTATATAACGAGCGTTTGCTGTTTGAACCTAGAATCTTCATTAACATCACCATCAATACAATGATCATTATCGTTTTCGCCATCATTATATATGATTAATTAGGCTTTTCATCATCGTCTTTATGAATCGTAGTCATATCACCATATCCAATATCATTATAAACATTGTCATCATTATCAACTTTGCCACTGGCAAACATCATTATTGTTATCTACATCACCGTGAACATCATCAACATCATCGTCATAATCATTCCCACACCCATCCACCATCAACATCATCGTTACCATCATACTTTGTCACCATAAACATCACAATCGACATCAAAATAAACTTTAAAATCATTATTGTAATCAGCATCATTATCATCATTATTGTCATTATCATCAACTTTCAAATCATCATCATCTTCAAAATCATTATCGTTATCATAATTATAATCATAACATAAGATGCGCATTTGATCTCTTTTGGATTTGGCACCTTACATATTTCGGATAAGTATTATTATTATTATTATTATTATTATTATTATTATTATTATTATTATTATTACATTAGATGGATATGTGCGCTATATAAAACTACACTATTTATTATTATTATTATTATTATTATTATTATTATTATTACGTGTCTTGAGTCAAAGAGAGGGGCCTGTCCTCTCCCCTGTTGAGTCGGAGAAGGCGGAGATAGAGCATATTTCACTCAGATAATGGGATAAATAAAGCTTAGAAGACATTCGACTTTTTTTTTATCAAAATTCAACAGAAGAGACATGAACATAAGATAGCTTTTAAACATTTTCAAGTGATACAGTTGATATTTTGAGATTGATCCCGTATATTCCTGAAAGGGCAGAGTTATCATGGAACTACTTAGCGAAATACCCTGCGTAACATTAATCAATGATCTGTTGGTTTCAGTTGGCTGTGTATATTCTCTGCGACGATAATTCATAGAACATTTCTTTCATCCAAAGCCTCGCATAGGGATGCAATATTGTCAATTAAAACTAGCATCACGTTTAGACCGGTACTTAGAGAACTAAACTCTATATCCCCCGGCTAACCGTTTCAAAGGGCGGTGCAGTTAACAGATATTAACGTGTAATACGTAGCATGTTTAAGAACAGAACAAACACTGTTATGAAATTAAATATCGATAATAATATGTTAAATGTGTTTAACAATCAATTATTCTTACATCGGCTCTTGTGCTCTAGTTGTTAATTTTATTAGTATTTTGTAAATTTGTGCTATATTTATAACTTATGAATACGGTATTCATTATTACTCTTAAATATTAGGGAAAATATTTTTACATGTTACATACGAATGGAATTAATTTAGTTAGTCGGTAATTCCATACAATGCTGGGGATGTGAGAATTCTAAGTACAAACACGTTTATTTATTTACAGGTAGCATCATGCATTTCTGCACCTGCTGGTAGGTGTTATATTCAATCATTGTAATTAATAATTAATAGGACTGAAGATTATTTCAAAATAATACTAATATTAAACAAACAAATATCGCATTAATTAGACTTTAAAACACTGACGATACACTGTGTATTATTTTCAGCAAGCTGAATACCGAATTTCAATTATTATTATTATTATTATTATTATTATTATTATTATTATTATTACTATTATTATTATCATTATTATTAATATTGTTATTTTATTATTATTATTATTATTATCATCATTACCATAATTATTATTTTTATATTTATTATTATTATTATTGTTGTTGTTGTGTTATTAGTAGTAGTTTTAGTATTTGGTCAATAAACGTGATTGTAGTAGTTTTAGTATTTGGTTATTATTATTTATAAATTAACGGACTAAAGCCGTGTGTCCGCAGCACTTACAATTTGTGCGATAAATTATCTTAAAACTCCCTCCAAATATTTTATCCCATCATGCAATATTACAGGCAACAATCCAATGTGTTTAACATCACAACATCCGTTTTTTTGACCTAGCAGGTGACCCTTTTTTGTGTGAAATGAGGCCTAGGCCAAGAACGTAACCGTACGATACAGTTTCGCTCTCGGAAATGTACTGTTGCAATAATGTTTTATTGTACTTCTATATAGGGAGTGAGAAGAATAAAAAGAATGCTAGCTTTGTTTGGTGTGTTTACGGTACAATAAACAATAAGTAGGGATAGACCTAAGCCCAGTCAGGCACCGTGGACGTCGAACGCAGCCTTTTCACGCTTTTTTAAAAATATTTTTTAAGCACGAAAAATGTAGGCCTACTCACTTTTTATTATGATGTGTTTGATTACTAGGCCTAGGCCTCTACTTAGTTGCCTTAGATTAGAAACTAACTACCCAAACTAAGAATTCTTTGCATGCCCGTGATTTGACATCGGTCAAAGGATATTTATTTTCACATTCGGAACTTTTTTCGATAAACTGAATCTCATACAAAAATTTATCGTATGAGAATTATTATTTATTTTGGCCCGTTTTCGCAGCAAAAAATAACAAAATGGCCGCTGTCCGATAATTTATCAGATAGGGCTGCGGAAACACGGCCTAATACCCTATTCAGACTACACACTCTTGCGATCGGTTGCGATGTAATCGGTGGTAATCCCAAACTGATTACTCCCGATCGCAATCAACAAACGCATTCAGACCAACACAAACAAACTTTACATTCTAGGGCCTAGGCCTTCGGTGTCAGGTCTATGTTGCCTGACCTCAGCCAAACAGTGCCAAAGCGTTGTGATTCGTTGCGATCAGATTCCGTGGCAATCGGGAGTAATAAAGATTGTAGCACCCAATCGCAACGGGTAACAATTGCGATATAGATTACATATCGACTACTACTACTTGGTGATCTTTCACACACGATTTTACTTTGCGATTGGGTGTCGCAATTGCTACAACCGATCGCAATGCGATGCTTGTCTGAATGGGGTAAAACAGGACGACCGAGTCATTAACATAATTTAATTTATACCCCATTCAGACTAGCATCGCATTGCGATCGGTTGTAGCAATTGCGACACCCAATCGC